CCCCAGTAGCACCAAAACGAAGTAAAAAGCAGGCTTGCCAGGTTGATAGAAAGTCCAAGAGTGCGAATCTACGGGGGAGTCAATGACTGGCGCAAATGATTCGATAGGAACAAAACTTACATAGGGCCCGTTGACCGTTACAAAAGCCGTCATTAGGGTCGTAAGCTACACAGGTACTGGAATAAGACGACGACGACGAATATATTTCCCCCAGAACATACCATAGATGTAATAAGCGCGTCAAAAAGACTGAGCTGGTCCGTCTTCCAGGCAATGAGCGTAGCCATGATAAGACTCCCAGATACCACATATGAATTTCGACAAGTATCTCGGAATGCCCTTTCATTATCCCACAAGAAAGACGCTACACACTGATTTTAGAATATTAGTTTATGACAATAATTAATCGGACCGGCAGTTATCTACCATACTGAGGAGCGTCTGCACGTAAATGGCTGATCTGACCTGTTTACCATTTAGGTCACAGAGTTGAGTACGACATATGTATAACTTACACCTATTCCCTTTAGTCACCAGTTCTGTCAGTTCAACCCTTATAAAAGCTAACACTACTCACCGAAATATCAGGATTCGATATGATTTGCGTACAATAGTCGAGGTTATCATCGGCGCTGCACGACATGAGTACTTGATTACGATTGAGCACAACCGAAGAGTATGAGCGAGAACGAATCTAGGCAAGAGAGGGGAAGTATTCTAGGAGTCGACGCATTGTGTATTTTGCAGTTATATCTTCGTATGTTGACAAGGTAAAAGTGACAGGTGGCAACCAGCTGTGTTTGCGAAATCAGGTACCGACGACGAGCACCTTTCGTCGCCTAAATAGGAAACTGTTAAAGACGGAAAAATCACAAAGGTCGAGTGCGAGATAGATTAATGAGGTATGTCTCAGCATCTCAGATCTAGTAAACGCAAGATGTGTTGAGGTCGAAGATGGTGGAGGTTAGGTGGGTTGGAGTTCGGCGCTTATTTGAAAAGGTGCGTTCCATTCGTACCAACGTGACACATGCGTATACAGAACAAGGGTATCAAGAAATATGTAGCAAAGCAAATGAAGATAATGGGTACGTTTATGGGTTGTTCCGGCTGTTAAATCGCTTGTCCATCTCTATTTGTTTGTGCCTCTCTAAAACCCACTCCTTGAAGTACGAGAAGCAATCCATAAGTTGCTGCCCAAGCATGATCAATGCGATCGTTTGACCGTACGTCCACTTATCCAAGTCATCCTTCACGCCCGGATTACGTCGAACAATTTGTTCGGTGGTGACTATCATATAGATCATGCCTACCATGCCACCGTATCGGGTGATATGCTGAGCACGATTGGCAGAGCTCTTGCCTATGAATAAGGGTTAACAAAAATTGGGATTCGGGAGATATGGGCACATACCTCTGTTCTTACGCCGAATCTCCTTGGCGTACCGCGTGGCCGCGTTATCTTTGGCTATTTGCGGGTCGCCGAAAAGGTACCTGAGCGTCCATGCAAACGATTTCCATAGCGCAGAGAGCGCGGAAATGGCGCCTACAGCGAAAATGAAAATCGCGAACCCGCGTAGCCCACGACTGGTAGCGCCAACGGTGTGACCAAAAACTACAAACACGGTTTTCTGGTTTGCGGCACAACCCTCTTGGCCTGGAGGAAGCCCAAAGTTCCATGGGTCTGACCATATTTGAAGACCCCAATAGCACCAAAACGTGGTGAAAACCAAACTAGCAAGATTGATAGAAAGTCCCAGTGTACGGATCTATTTGATGTAAGTATTTTGCGGGACCAAGCTTCAATAGTCAAGACGCACGTAGGGACCGTTGACCGTTACAAACGCCGTCATGATAGTTGTAAGCTGCACACACAAAATTAGTGGGTGTTGTAAACCTCGTACGTCAACATACCATAGTTACAATGAGCCCGTCGAAGAGGCTAAGGCCATTCGTTTTCCACGCAATCAGAGAAGCAATAATCAAACTCCCGGATACGACATAAGAGTTTCGTGATGTATCTCGAAAGGCTTTCTCATGATAGGGCAGCCAAGACGCAACCATCTACGCTTGGTGAGTTGGACTGGTAAAAAGTAGGATCATACCACCTACCATACTGATGAATGTTTGGCTGTAGATGGCGACCCGAACCTAAGCATTGAGTTAGATGTGCGCACCGAGCTGTATGCCTATTCTTACCCCAATGCCCTAGAACTAATGGGTTAGCACCGCTAGGCGGTCCTTCAGTGAAATGATGCTCACCGAGATATCAGGATTGGCCGTAATCTGAGTACAGAAGTCCTCCGGTCCATCCGGAGGACAAAAGGGGTCGGACATGGTTTGGTGGGATGTAAGAGTGGCTGCCGCATCGAGGTGGGCTTATATGGACCAGATCACCTCGGTTAGGCGCTCAGGCACTGCCTCGGGGACAAGCGCAGACAGCTTTTCATTTTCGAGAATTACCAAAACACTGCCTTTGTCGAACCAAGGAACCACAATTTCTTAATTCGAGTCTGTTTCCGTGACATTACACGCTCAAAGGTTGGCTCACATTCGAGTTGCGCCAACCCTGATGAATATCTACAGGCCAGAAGTTGATTAAACAAAAAGGTGTCATACAAAGCTAATATACAAAGTCAATTTACATAAAATCGACCAACCCCCATGCGGTGCTGCATAGAAAGTTCTCGCAGAGCTGAACGAAAAGTTCCAGGCATATGTTATGCCTCGAGCGCTCGGTGTACGTTTGTCTCGAGCTATCTCGTATGCAACCATACGACATTCTCACGAACTAACTACTGTCGCTGACGCTACTTGGCTAAACAGAATCGTCGGTCGATTGACCTGTACTTTCTGTTGTACTTTTCTTAAAGCGCTGGTTGACCGCCTTGTATTTCTATCGACCACTGTTTGTTGCTGCCATATTTGTCATCTTTTGGAATCGTCAGTCGATTGACCTGTACTTCTATTAATTACTTGTCGCCTGCCATTAAACCGCTGGTCACTGAGTCGACCTGTGGTTTGTGCTCGTCCTCAGCTTGTCCTTGTCGTTGGTCGATTGACCGATGTTTTGTGTAACTGTTGGATGCTAAGCGCGCTTAAATCCCGCTTAGCTCAGTGGTAGAGCGCGTCACTAGTAATGACGAGGCCGCTTGTTCGAGTCAGGCAGTGGGAAGTTTTTTTAAAGTACGATACCTTTTGAGAATTTTTTTTTGCCTCGTACCTCGGTCAGCCCAGCCCAGACCCTCCCACCCGACTTAAACTATCCGCACCGCTTGAGGTCAGTCGTTTAATTCGACTAGTGGGAGGCTTTTTTGCGATTTTTTGAGCTACTGTGCGTTCGAAAACACTTCCGGGAGACTGAGAGCGGGAGATCTAAGGAATATAGTAAATTTGAGACTAAATCGCTTCTTTTCAATTTTTGAGCCCAGCATCCCTATGTAAAATCTCCCGTGGAGTCTATCTGTATTTATGCTTGAATTTTATCGGCACTCTGGTAGGTGTTTCAGCCAAGGTATGCCCGCTCAGCGCCACAGCCACTCAGCACTCGGCGCTTAACTTGCAACCACCCCCGCCACCAGTTAAACTGCCACTTAGCACTCTAT